CAGTCAGATTACGAATCTACTGATTATTAATATTAGTCATAAATTCTCTCTACTATATGATGCAGCAGGGAAGTTCGCCGAAAGCTGCGTCGTCCATGCTATGAACACTATAGACTATAAAGGAGCGAGAGTTTGTTCGTCATGGATGTTAAAGATTTTATCGGAACATAACAATGCTTTGATTTGGGATGGGGAAAATATCCGGTGGGCCAGAACGGTGAGTTTAAATCAGTGTTACAGAAACGTCACGAGTTGAAGCAATATTAAGGCCGCGCCGCGTCCACATCACCACTAAGCAAAGATACAGTTTGAAACTTCTTCTAACCGACCGCATTCCCTACGTGGAGTACCTACTGTCAGAAGAATTCGAGAATACACAGGTTTGCGTTCGGCTTTCGCTGAGTCAGTCACAGGGTGACCCCCTTCTATGTTACTGGTTCAAAACTGCGTAGCGAGGCAACCCTGTAGTACCCCTTACCCGTACGAGACTGGTGGAGCAAAGTGTCAGCAAGACGTACCGGCGTATTGCTGATGCATTTTATTGGTTTAATCAATGCAAGTCTGCTGAGTCGACGGTTCGCGGAGTATTCCCGTGGTTTGCCTCCGTCAAACACATGTGCGCTACTGTTCAGCTATTTTGCGCGTGGGGAATCAGCCGTTGGTTCGTTGGAATTGAAGCTATATGATACAGGCCACATGTGGTCGATCAAGTAATCGCTTCGGTTGAACTCCACCAATCGTGTTTTTGTAACCCAGTGCATCAGGTTCCTTATCACTGTTAGCATAGAAAGCAGACGTTGAGTTGCGCTTCGCACGATATTGATCTAGCAGCGTTCGTATAAAATGATGCTGGTTTATCGAGACGGGCGTGTAAGGAGTCAAGAAGTGATAATCTGCACTTTGGCCTTTCGCAACCAGTGTTCAATTGATTCGATCAACCATTATTTCACTGTCGAGCACACACTTACAAAACTACCCGGATATGGCATCTTCGGATATGACATCTTTGATAGACGAGTGACCGCTATCCTTTTGATCTTTTATATATATATATATATATATATATATATATTTCAGAATTGGAAATCCAATAAACGTCTGTCAGAGCGGCACAGCACATGAGTAACAATAATAAGAAGGTGGAAGTGAGAGTCAGCTGAATGGATGGAAAGTCCCATGTGTCGTGTGGGTATTTAGCTTCCCGGTTGCCCAGGCCGAGGAACAGAGTTGACCTAAGGAATCGCACCCCGAGCCTTTGGTCTTAAAGACCTGACCCGCAAGGCAGCCAGGCAATAAACGCAGACCGTTGACAGCCAAATGGCTCATTCGCCTTCTTTGTGTTCAGAATCAGTCCACAGAGAAGCCGGTGGTCAGCAAGATTGTTCATCAGCTCTCCCTTATATACTCCCCGCTGGTTACAGAAGTGAGAGTAGTAGGTGACCCCATAGCCGGTCACATTGGCTTTGACACAGCGCCTTACGAGCTGTTGTTGTATTTGATGGAGAACCAGCTGACCAGCCTAGAACTTCGTACGCTCTCAGACGCTGCCGCTGACTGTCCGCGACTGCTTATTCATCTCACTTGCAAGGCAAATGAGACTTGTTCGCAGTTACCTCCAAAAGGAAGGCATTTCCCGATCCGCAAGCGCTCGATAGCCTACAGCTCCGCCACAGATATACTTCATCTTGAACGCTGTCCTCCCGCATTGCCATCACGGACCTTCGAGAGGGTTAGACGGGGGGATAATAAGCCTTTCGTATCCATTAGAAGGTTTTCACATAGTTCCAGCCTTAATCAGTAGTCACGGGTTTATGGTGTTTAATCTCAGACGAGATACCGGTATAAATATAACGCGAACAGAAAGAGAATCGCGGTTAAAAGTGACAAACACGAATAAGATGACAACCATACTAAAGGTTACTTGATCATACTGAGCCACACTATATTTTGGCGGCCATGCAGGGTCTCTCTGATGGCTCAGAAGCATAAGAGAATGTCAAACTACCCGGCGATACCTAAGGTCCAGATTGGCAATTGTCAAGGCACATAACAGACGTTGTATTTTCAGTGGCAGCATTAGCTCCTGCGTTTCTCGACAGTATCGAAGCACAGTCATTGGGTGTGCGATTCCAGAAAGATATTTCGTACGATTGAGCCGATCCTCAAGAGTGAGCTAAAGCAACTTCAGTGGCAAATAAGGATTAATCCAAGAGTCGTTGATCAACTATGCCACTCGAGAATTGACAACAACTACAAGCTTGATATGAAGTCCCACCATTATGTACTTATTTTCTCCATTGGCAACAGATTGGGAATAATTGAAGTAGAAAACACAAGGATACTTGGACAACATAGTCGCATAGCATGGCCTGGGTACATTAGACCTCAGAATGGATGAATTTTAGCAATGTTGGCACGTATCTGTTCTCCAAACAGCAGAATTACCCTGGGTCCATAGCATAGTGATTGGTCAGCAAATAATAAACCTCGGATTTTACATTGAATCAAATTCGATGGAACAGCCCAAGTGGTGATGCGTGACATCTGCGGTTCGTGATGATAATCAGGCCAAACGCTAGCGCTTATTTGAAGGTATTTGCATTGATTAAAGTGGAAACACGTAAGGAGCAGCCATCAATAAACTGTGTACCACGGTTGCGCCACTGTCGAATATTCTACAACGCTTCAGAACCGATGTCAAACAAGCCAGTGTAGACCACTGTATCTACAGTTACCACCCACATTGCCCGGCCTTTACGTCAGGAAAATACGTAGTCCCCATCGGTACATTCTTCACGGGAATCGATATTTTTAACAGGCTATCTGTATTTCGCCCACTGATGACTTTTGGACTTCGGACGGAACACGCATCATCCATCAAACGAAGTGGCATTAGTCAACGGTGCTGATACCGGCCAGGCCAGGTACATGCACACCTAACCGAACCAAGACAGCTAGATGAGCCGGCCTGATGGCATACAACAACTGTTTTACCCAGTAGACCTGAGACGGGTGTGTGTGCCATCTGGAGTAGCCAGCGGGCTAGTAGATGTTTATCCGACCAAAGGGTTGATTTATTGTGGTTCGCTCCAAACGACGGGTTCGAGAAAGGCCGCGAACGGACATGATGTATATGTGTGTGCGTGTGCGTGTATGTGTGAGGAGGTGGGAGGGGAAGGGTGCTAAGCCTCCAACATGACCAGTTTCGACCTCAATCCGGCCTCACAGGGAATCGTGTTGGGGTTCGAGTCGTATCTACTTCCCTGATTCAACCAATCTGTGGATCACCTTAGGACACTGCTAGACCGAGTAAGTTGGGATATCTTTGATGGGAGACGCCGAGCGAAGATAAAACATGCACTTCGGCCTCTTCGGACCACATGCAGCCGAATGCAGTCGACTTGACACGTTCGAAGTATACCGCATGTAGAATTTGAGGTAAAACAGTCCAGTAAATTTTGACTTCCAACTACCCAATGTCTTCAGTTGACAGGACGCGGTGAACTTGATTCGAATTTACGCTAAATCTCACTACCACGGGTGAAATCTTACTCCAGGTAATCATTAATGAATTCCGTTCATGTTCACTCCGGGTTGACTACATTGAAATCACGTTGTGATATTGGAGCTTACTGCCTCAGTGCATGCGTGTCCGTCACGAAATTGTTGCAAACATATTTCCAATACAGCTGTTTCCGCTTGCACTTGGAAAAAGAAGGACGTATCTTGACCACAAATTTAACAGTGATACAAATAGAGAAATTAACAGCCAGAACCGAGTAAACTTTAGTTCAAATGAAACTACACAATACCCAGTAAAGTTACTTCATTAGGAAACCATACCGCCCTCTCAAACACATTGTTGACGTAAGTGTTTCCACGAAGATGAGGTCCGTTACTAAAACCTTTCTGGTATCGGACGAATTAAATGAACGAGAAAACTGAGTGCACTGACTTTTCTGCGGACCAAGATTCGCCACACATTTATGATGAAATCAAACATGGAGCGAAGAACTGTTCATCCTGCAAAACATCTGGTGATTTGGATAGGCTAGGTGCTGTCACATTACTCAACATCATGAACGCGTTTTACGCAGGAAGATGCCGGCCCTTAAAATGGGCACACTATATCCTTTGCACAGAAATTATGCCAGTGAAAACTCCTCGCAGAGCTCAAAATCTCCATAAGAGTTTGGCTGCGTATTCCCAAACAGTATATGTGAGAGAATTTGAGGTTTACCGTGCATCACAGAGGTGGCTATAATTCTACTTGATTGCGTATGACATGTGAGAGCTAATTTTCAGATGGATGAACCCCTGTTGTCGTTATTTAGCTGGTCTAATTTATTGGTCGACACGGAATAGAAACGAGGGATATGTCGAATCTCCGTTCGCGTATAGCATGTGCTCATTTGGATTAAACATCTTAATGTTAAAGAGGTGTTGTAGACCTAATGATTAATGACTTCCGTCACTCACAACGTTCTAACTTCCACCACCAACCATGTAGAATCTCTATTTGAACAGATACAAACCAATGTATCTCGAAGTTGAACTAAGTACCCTGATGTGCATTGAAGGAAAATTCATCATTACCTCTGTCTGACTATTATTCGTAGGTAACAAATTAATATAGTCAAAGCACTGCAGATCAATCTGAATACACAGTGGAAACGACCCCGAATTGATACCACCGTATTCTTACACTTTGGCTAGGGCGGAACATTGTGAGACGATAACATGGGTGGGAAGGGTCCGGAAATATCAACTTCCAAGTTCGATACAGAACTCACCGTCTATCTTTCAGATAATAAACAGCATGGACTTTAACATCAAGCTACCCGATATGGTACCGGAAGCCAGAGTATATTTCATTTTTGTGAGCGCTTTCGCAATACCCATGGTGTTTCGTCAGTGGCTACAGGGTTATGGTCGTTTCTGCCCTAATACAGACGAGACGGGTCTCGGGGACCTTTAACCTGGTAAAAACACCATCTTTAATGTCCCAGCGGTGTGACACTCTTGCTTCAAGACACTTGCGAACATATGTCACTAACCAAGCCAGTCCGTTAGCTCAACTGCTGTGCCGTTTGGCTGAGTCGAATTGGGAATTGAGGCAGGTCACTGTTCATCAGGAACTGTTGGTGACTGGACAACACCTGGTGCGTGTTATGCTGTTAACGCATGTCCCCAGTGAGGTAAACGGATTCTTTTCGTAAGACACATTCTACTCGGTTAACTTACCGTTAGCAACTCGTTATGCTCGTGTATGTCAGACGAAGCATGCACAATGAACACGCATTTCCCACGGCGTAACTATCATTTAGTTACGCAGTTAGCTGTGGTTAAGAGAATTATTTTTGCCGGTCTCAGCAATCTCTGCGGTAGTCGTATCCACCTAAATCCTCTTCCTGTGACATCGAATGCGTAGTTTCATGAGTTTAGCCGTGTAGGCGATCGGAAGGATTCATTGGTGGCGCTGTATAGCAAACCACAGAGAACTACGTTAACCACGAGGCCGTCCACTTCCCATTAAGTGTGTGAATCTGGGGGGGGGGGGGAGAACTATTTTCAGAGCGCCCATCAAAAGCACCTGTATTCTCGGATGGCAACCATCAGGCTAGGTAAGTCCGATTCAACCAGCCTCGTAAAATCCGGATGCCTTGATGTTGACTGTGAGCGCAGCTCAGAACACAAGCATTCCACTGTGTTAGACCACTCACTTCAGGTAGAATGTTCGTATGATACATAGGTCAGTGTAGCTGCCGCAAGGTGACAACTATCGAAACTGATCAGTGGTCAACCGATTTCCCATAATGTGCTTCTGCTCTCGGCGGAGAAGCGATAAAGATCATCCCATTCAATCTGTGCTGTAGCAACCGTGGTTCCTCTCCCTCGTATCAGGTTTCTATTTGGGAGGCAATGTGAGATGAATCACACAAGTAAATCACCATGGCTCACTGGTCACGTTGGACTGACGAAGGAATCAATGGAGCTATCAGTATATGCAGTGTGCGATATTCAAGTCACGTGCTCACGTAGCAAGCCACCGTTGCGTACGATTGGAACACTCCCAGATTGATCTGATTCCCAAGATTATATTTTAGTGGTGTGCAGCAGGATGTGGATCCTGGATTGGTAACCAGGTAACGCACCAGCGCACTGGACGAAATTGCTACAATGCCGAACGTCACATTTGTTAGTTCAATGGAATAATGTGCGTTGTGTGGTTTAAAAGTTGACCACTCTTGAAAGCAGCGTAGGTTGTCGAGGAAGCATATAAAAAATATTCGTTACATGAGACTATCAACATTATAGGACAATAAAATTCAAACTTAGAAGTCCAATGTGAATGCCAGAACCAAAACAGTTTCTATGACTGGTGGAAAATGCTGGTACAATGAGTCTTGGTAGGCGTTTTGATTAGATAGCATAGCCTTGCTTCCAGAAAGCGCTGTGCATACATGCTTGGTCTGCTTTCTGCGGAACTTCGCTTTGAAGTTAACACATTTACCAAGAGGAGGTACCTTTGCCGAGCTACATGTAATAAACAGTGATAAGGTGCTTTGCCAGTAAATAAATAATAATAATAATATGTCAGCTGTACGCCCTAACGGCGCTCCGCTGTCGCGCGGCAAACATCAGCCGCGCGCGGGCTGAGCATACCGCGAGGAAGACCACCCCTACGCGGATTCGAACCGGTGACCTTATGGTTGCAAACCAGTAACGCAGACCACTCGGCCACTGGCCGACTTGCCGGTAAATAGGCGAAATTTCGAACCGTCAAGTACGATTAGCGCTAGCGGTCAACGCAGGCTGAGTTAAGGTTAGTGAAGATATCGATATTAGAGTGTGACAAGACATTAGGATAAACGTATGGCTCGCATATTGTGGGCCTGTTCTGCCTGTTACTGCGTCCTCCATAGCACAGCCACAGGACGCATGCGTCTACAGAGGGACCATTGATGGCTTGCGTTGCACCACCAACAGCTCCAACCACACACCCTACATGTAGTGTAAAGCCGAAGGAATAAAACCGGGAGGCATGTGGCTGAGAGCCACATTTCATCAACGGAGCCGGCCCGCACTCATTGAACAAGCACAGCGCAATCATACCTACGTATATGGAAAAACATGCGTACCAGAGTTACACAAGGCGGTGGCTTGGCCGTAGCCCGTTCCACACAGGAAGAAACCATTCTTTGAGGTTAGCACCATCACAAAGACCGTGCATCCCGTCTCCCCCAGCATTGATTCATATTTCTCTAAAACCAGAGGATTTTCGAAATGTGATCATATTGTGAATATTCACATCAAGTGCAGCCACAGAGAGGATATCAAACAAGGCATTCAGAAGAAGAGAAACACTCCAACTTTATAGGGAATATGCAGCAGAATAACGCAAACGAGTTTATCAAATAAAGTGGAATACTTTATGTCCAGCTTAAGAAGATCTAGTTTAAGCGCAAGTCAGTGTAGCCCAACTATGGCGAAGTAGTATGACGTACGCAACCTGTATAGGAAACGTCATGCGAATAATGACGGACTCCATGTGGCTTTAAGAAAACAACATATTGCTAAGTAATTGCATCAAGTGACCAATTTCCAAGTTACATGAAACTATAGAAATCAGTTGAGAGACAGATTTCAAAGTGAAACCAGATTTCTGGCCCCACACCCCACCGATTATGAGGTGTGCTTCGCCAGGTGTGTGGGCTGCGTTGCGCTATTCTCTTGGCTTTATCTGAATGGAAAACCCACGACCAACGTTTACGAGAGGCAAATAAATGCCCTCCGGTTAGACAGATTAAAGGCACATTAAACTATTACAAGCACAACGGTATTGGTCGTTTTGGAACTGTGTGGTTGTCCCGCTAATCACTGAGTTACGACACTCGGCCGGTGGCGAGTGGTCTGCGCACCTGCTTTGCAACCATAAGGTCCCCGGTTCGAATCCGCGTAGGGGTGGGCGTCCTCGCTATATACTCAGCCCGCGCGCGACTGATGGTTGTCGCGCGGCAGCGAAGCTCCGTTACGGCATACAGCTGGCAGGGTCAGGGTTACTGCCTGAATAAAGTCACGCGAAGGGCGAAAAAGCATTGCTGTGCAGAGTAGAGTACAATGATGCACTTGATTAAGAGCCAAGAGATTCCAGTCGGCACGTCGCATTTGTGAACACTGCGAGCTTACAACGTTGACTCCAGAACAGGTGTTAACAAAGTAGTCTTGTAGTTAGTTTTTTGGGGTTCTGTGTGCTGTGCAATTGGGTAGCGAACGCTCCGTCACCAGCCGTGGTGGAAGCCGGTTTATCCAGAGATGAATACATTCGTCAGCCACCAGCTTCTGAAGCCAAACTGCTACCAGTTTCACACTGATAATATCATCGCGACTTGTGACGAGGCAGTGAAACAACCCAGCTCGAAGAAAAAGTTCACAATGGAACAACAAAAGTGGGATATCAGACATGTATTCACAAAACGGAGACAGATTAATCACCTAGAGCTTAGACCTGTTTGATGCTGCATAATAGATGTTGGGGTGGCGGAGGATCTCTCCTATACTTTGTTGTGGAACTTGTCTAAGCCTGTTGAGATTAGTGTCTCGCTAGTTACGTTAACTCGGTAATCTATGTCGCGCTTCTCCTGCATCGCCCATCGCGGAGGCCATAATCATTTGTCTTATTACTCCGAAATGTTATTCTCGCTTATACTCACACCGCCTGCGGCATTAGTTGCCCATCGAAGCCAGAGCTCGGATTAGGCAACATTGACAGATCGTTAACGTCGGCGGATGACGAACGACTATCCGGACTACGTACCCGTTGCATCACCATCGCGTGCGCCGGTGTGTGTTAATGTATTGGCGCTACCGCCACAGCTGTTGTCATCGCGTCGAGTCTTGTGATGGTGCGAAAGAGAGAGGGGCTTTTAATGCTCCGATGACGCGAACGACGATGATGATGATGATGGGGTTTAGGAACAAAGATGTGTGTTACGCGTGGCCACTTCGACCTGAAACACTGCTGAGTGACCTCTCGGTCTGGGTTTCCGTTTTCTACCCTCTTCGCAGTCTGGTCAATATGCTGCCGGTTGTGATGTGGTGGGGACATTGAACACAGCCACATCGTTATGTGGGATAGAGGAGCGAATGGCATCTAAGCAGGTTGGATGCATGCATCAAATCGCTTATTAGTCCAGCCAATAATGAGTAAGCAAACAGCAAACCCACTTCGGGGAAGCAAAAATTTCGGTAAGGACCAACACTAAACCGAACATGTTTGACAAATTACGCCGTGGCTGAATCATCGCCTCATGTGGACAAAGTGGCTTGGACAGCATCATATCAGCAATCTGGCCAGGATAGTCCCAACAGCTCGGAGTCGGATTACAACCAAGTGGTGTGATCAATGGGTTCACTAATTGTCTGTCTGGGCGGGCATCCAACATATGTGAATAAATAAACATTGTGGATACCACCGCAGGTGAACTCGAATGCTTGAATGAGACTCGTTGCAAGTCTAGCTGCCACGCTGCCTCTTTACATTTCGATATGACGACATCCGATGTTAATGTCGATGAAGTACTGACCCATCACTTCCAGTACTGTTTATGAGAAAACACAGATCACCTATGAACATTCGGCAGGTGCTGACTTACAGAGGCCGTATACAGTTCCATTGAAAGGTAAGTACGAAAGGGATATCATTACTTGCTGCAATCACTACGACGACGCAAGTGAGCATACGTGTAGAAGGTTCTGCATAGCTAACAAGGCGGATGTTTGAGGTCCATTGCAGAAAAGAGTGTAACTATTTGGGGATATCTGAGGGAATATTTACCGGACTGAAAACGAGCTGAGTGCATTGTATTTTCGTATCATTCGCGACCTTCATCGATGGTGTCGTTGAACACATTGCAAGTCCGAACCATATGGAGAGCATATACTGTTTTCTCTAATGTAATAGCCTATTTCCTTCAAACTAGTAGATCAGAGCCAACACCAACTGAGAGCGTCCGCATAGTTTACGAGACTGTCAAGAAATGTTCAATAATTTAGTGGACATCTGAGCACAGGTTAGTTACACCGATTAAGTCTAGTTCAAGTCTAATTTTTCACCTATAACTCCCCGCCCAAGCAGTGGCAAGCGTCCGTGTGTGGCACA